TATTTTGAGGGATAAGGTTATTCTACATAAATATGGGATTCAGGATAAGGATTTTATCAAGTCTATCTACGGATGGTTTAAAATTTAAAAAACTATTATTAGAGGAGTAACCTGAGATTATCTACACTTGGGCTGTTGTACAGATTGCAAAATACATTATGCATATTAAAGATAAACATGGATTAGTATTTTAATAAAGTCTACGAATGTTGGTGGTTTTGTTATTTTAAAAATCTTATCATACTTTTTTTTCCTCCACATTTTCATATTCGAATAACTTGGACTTGCCCCTGAAACTTGAAGTATCCTTTACAATAGCATTCCATGAAATGTAAATAATAACGATTAGGGAGAAAGGACCCTTTTGCATGTGTTGGGTTAATTTCAGTTCTAAACTCTCTAGAACCTTCTCTTGTGGAGTCAAATCAAAGTTGGTAGGTACTTAATTGTAGTCTTTGGTTAGTATGCCATACACCATATTATTTTATTGCTGGGTCCTTTGTACTTTATTGAGATCACTGTAATATGATCTTGTTGGATCATATGTATATGAATATTTCACTTCTCTTTATATCAGTTGTACTGAATCTACAATATAAATTTGGCAATCTAGTCAACTTTGCAATTCTTTTATCAAGATTGACTTTCCTTCAATCTTCTTGAGGACCAAGAAACTCAATAAATTTCAAACTCTTTTTCTTCTTCTTCTTTTAAATGCAGTGGAATCTTTACTAGATGAAGTCAACCCTTAAATGACTGAACTATTTCCATTGTTCAGTTGTTCAAGTAAATTTAAAGCAGAGGGTGTTTTTGACAGCTTTGTTAATGCAGCTTCCCATCCCCACCCCCATCCCCACCCCCTGGTAATTCAAGTATTATTGACGTCTAGTGTTGAACTTTAAATATGTTCTTGAGACTTGAAAAGGAAGCTTGATGAGACATGTACTGCAACATAACCTCTCAATTATTCACACATTTATATGACTGTGCTCACCAAGGCCTCTGATTGTAAATATTATGAACATTTTTATAACCAGACATTGATATGAGCTAATAGGCAGTGAATTACAACTCAAATGGTGAAACTTCAAATAGTAATCAGAGTATGGTCAGGGTCATCAATCATAATTAGCAAAATCATTGTTCATTTCTAAAATCTCTGATGCTGTATCAAGTCACATTTGCGTCTTAACTGAATCATTTCCAATACTTAAACTCAAAAAGTCAGGCATGTTTGACAATGACTCTAGAACCCAAACCAACTCACTGGCTTAGCTGAGGACAAGGAAGATTGACATTTTTTTTTTCTTGTTCTTTTAGATGCAAATAACTTAGCAGGTCTCTGTCCATCATTTAGCATGATCTAACAGCTGTATTTAATAAAGTGTCCAAATTTGGATTCTGCTAATATAATAATATCTAATAAGATGAGAGGAAGAACCTACAAAAATGTTATTAGTGACTCTTATCTCCATATGTCCTTTTCTCCTTTCCTGCTTACTATCAGTGAATTAATTTAATCATTCAACAAATACAAACTGAGCCATTATTTTGGCCCCAATATGGACTAGGCACTAGGGGGGAGCAATCCAGGCAGGCTCTCTCACCATCTTTATATGGTTATGTTCCAGTGCCATAAAGGAAGATTTAGAGTATTTTTAAATTGGTTTATCCTGGATATACCTCAAAGTTATTTAAAAAAAAAAAAAAAAAAGAGGACTCTGTTGAGATATATTGTTAGAATAAGTCTGAGTGACCATTTCCTTTTCTTTCCATAGTGGATTGAGAGGGCAGTTGTAATTAGAAGATTGCTGGCCATTTTGTTTCTTTCCTTGAAACAGCTGGGGAGATGACTCAGATGATAATAAGGAACTATCAATTCCTTAAAACATTTTGAAAAAAAAGAGTGCCATACAACCTTGTGGTAGGTTTCTCCTTTCTTAAAAGCTCTTGGGATGAGCAGCAACAGTAGTATCTATTTTCAGATTAAATGAACAAGAAGGATGTGTGCTTAAGTTCTACTCTGTGCATGAAAAATCATATACAGTTTATTACATCCAGTTAAGGTAAGTGTAATTATGGGTAACAAATGATCAACAAGGATACAACAAGGCTTAGACATTCTTTGCTAAGTCCCTCCTCTCTAAGGATTGTGGAAAACCCAGACCAAGGATAACAAATAAAAGACCTTACTACAGAGACTGAAAATCATTACTGATACTAATAGCAGGAGCAGCTTCTTAACCCTGAGCTTCTCTTTCTGGGTCCCCTAGTGGCTGTTGTTCCTCCTCAGATGTCACCCTCACTCTTCTACAGACTATTATTCTAGCATGATCATTTCCATGTAAAGGGCCCTGACAGCATGCGCTCCAAGTTTTTTCCAAGTACAGTGGTTTGTTCTTGTAGTTTCGTTTTAATACATTTTATTTCCAAGGCTATCTTGCTCGACCCACTGTAGTCTGAAGAAATGCTTGCCTCCAATTACTTAGCAGCAGGGAATACCTTCCTTATTTCTGTGCACTCGTATAAGCTGAGATTTTTTTTTTTTTTTTTTTTTACCAAAAAATACAGAGGAGAAGACTTATCTTCAAATTGTTTGCAGGCTGAAATGAAGAGTTCCCCACTAATTCGAGACACAGCGGCCGGCAAGTGATCCATGTCTTCTCTTGGGCGTCTTCTCTGACAGCAAGGGCTCACTGCTGTAATATTCCGCCATAGTCAGGTTCCTCAGTGTGGTGAGCTAGGCTTGGGTGTCTCCCATACAGATTCTAACCTGCTGAATCAGTGACTTCATGGGTTGATTAAACAAGATCAGATTCAATTGGTGAGGCACGTGGGATCAAAGGATGGTCTGTCCAGAGGCTTATTGAGGACTTCCAATGGGGTGTCTGGGTGAAAAAGAGAAGACATCCTCTCTCTACTCTCTTGTTGGAATTTAGAATTGAGGAAATTCAGAGCCTGAGCAGGTTAGCTTCAGGAAACTGAGTTGAGAGCCCACCAAATAGACCCAGGCAGCATTGATATGGTTGAGGACCAAGAGAATGGGGACAATAAAGCAGAGATGCACTGAGAAGGTTGGGGTGAGGGTCCCTGAAGTCCCCGAAAGAAAGGGAGAAAGATAGACTGACACACAAGTTCATACACAGGCACACAACAAAAGCTACCTCAATTCCTGATTGCTTTTTGTTTCCATATTTAGTGCCCCCACACTTCTCATTTTGGGGCACCTCACCTGAGCCATCTTTGCCTCTTATGACCAAATGAGTCTTGACAACACCAGCAAAATTTGTTGAATTTTTGTTGAATATTATAACACTGTAATTAATGGTAATGCAGCAACCAAGAGGAATTAACCAAAAGGTATATAATGTAATTGTTGCTCTCCTGCTACCACTTGTCAACTGTGAATTTTTTTCTAAATGCCTTAACATTAGTAGTTGAAAACTCCTGGAAATTGTTTGTCTCTTGTCAGTATTCATTTAAAAAATCATATACCATGAATATCAGAACTCAGAGGTCCATATTATGTACTTTTTTATTCTTTCAGTTTAATGAACACTTCACGAAACTACTAAGTTGTTATATATGACATTAAAAGAATCTATGACAAAGTTTTGTGGTGAATATATGATCTGAAACCATAACACATTCGTGTTTCATTCTCATGGTGTGATATTTGCCATTCAATTACTTTTAGTGGAGAGTGCCATGTTCTGGTGGCAGCTGGATGTCGAACTCCATCTTCTTTAGGCTAAAGTAAAAGAAGAGTACTTGGGAGCATTTACATATACAGATATCTTAAATATCCTACTATTTATTTGTGTGAATATGGTTTGGCAATGGGGTATAATAAAACTTTTATTTTAGCAAGTGGAGGATATCACTCACTGACTAGGTCTTTCCAAGCAAGTTGCTGTATAAAATTTACAGCATCTGTGCTCACTCACATATTTCTCTTATGCAGTATGTTTATCTTCTTTTATTAGCTTTCCATGCTTTTGTCATTGTTCTTTCCTTCCGTCAGCTCAGTTGTCATGGAAAGAGTGGATGACTTAGAGTGGAGTGGAACATGATGCCATCTGTAAACGTAAGTGGGTAAATAACTTCTATAGACATAACTCTTTGGTGCAGTGAATAACAGGCATTCATGTGTGTTCTTAATATCCATCTGTTTGATCATCTTTAGTCTATGTTCCTTACCCAGCCTCTCTAACCACACACACACACACACACACACACACACACACACGGGGTTGGGGAACCCAAGCTAACATTAATTGAGTTAGAAAGTATGTTTTTGCTCAGACAATGAAAAGAAAAAATTTCCTCGGGTAGGATAATTCTAGTGGTCATTTTTCTTTTCCTTTAGAATTTTTAACTACAGTAGGCACACTGAATTCAGTGCTGGAGGCAGCCAGCCATCATCTTATGAAGAGATATTATTTGTCTCATTAGCTCTGTGGGAGTGCCATGAAAGGGTCCATGACCTAGAGCCCATCTTGCTTTAATAATGGCTTGACACTCATAAAAGATTTTTAATGGCTACATGAGACATATTTAAATATTAAACGCCATTCCTCTTTGTTGATTCACAAACTCCAATGAATAGGACTCCTTTGTCGCTTCCAAGATTGAAGAAATGTGCCTGGCTTCTCACGCCAAGGAGTGAACAAAACAAACCCAGGAACGGAAACACCTCACCTCTGCCCTGCTAACCTACTTGCCAACCTGAGAACCTTGCATCTCCAGGGCTCACTGCACTGGCTGCCTTGATTTCTTGCTCAGAAACACAATTTTTCTGTTTGATACCCATTTACCCATTTCTAATCCTGCTATAGGAGAATTAGGAAGATAGTGATATATACACAATGAGACTTTTTTCCCAAACACAACTTTATGGCTCTTATCATAATGCAATTCATTTGCTTGTGCCACCCCCTCCCTTGCCGCCCCCCCCGCCCACTGCTACATTGTTGATCTGATGAGATGATCATACTTACCCGGTAAGGCATTTTGGGCTGATACCTGAATTTGAACAGAACGAAATTTATTAGTTCATCTGTGTATTTAGATTTCAGTAAGGACTCATGAGCCTGGTGACAAGAGGGCTATTCTTCCAAAACCTCAGAATGGAGTGTGACATTACATGAGAACCAGAGCTGTTTGTTTAAACAGAGCGAGTCCTCCAAGATTAGCACCTGACATCTCATTCTTAAGTGTGTGATGATCCTGGGTGGATGACAAGACCCTAAAGCATTGTATTTGCCTTTCTTTCTTGCCTTCTGGTGTGCATGTCAGACGTATACTTTTAGAGATGCTTTTATTTACAGAAGAGAAAATGGAGTTACAGACCTCCTATTCTGAGTGGAGCTGCCAGGGGAAAACAAGGTGGACAGGTATTCTCAATTACAGAGCGAGACTATATGGGTCTAGAAGCACTTGGGGTTTGGCATGCTTGGTAGTATTCTTTAAATATTTGGGGGCATGGCAGAACCAAACAGGTATATTTTGCTCAAAGCACCATTTTCCCTTTCATTTTCCCCAAACCATGTATATTCTAGGGAAATTTAATCTGTGTATTTTGGAATCCTTTCACCGGCATTCATCAAAACATTGCAAAGTAAATACTAGATCAGGACCGAGACATCTCTTAAGCTCTCCGATAAGCAGTTTTTTCCCTTGGAACATAAAAATAAAATTTTGCCAGCTTTGAATGAACCCTGAACCCAGAGCAGTTGGAGCTTACTTCTCAAATTATCTCCCAGCCAGTGGGTGGGGAGTTTTATATGTGTCTGGAATAAAGCAATGATGGGGACAATGCTTTTCTAGAGGCAAGGTCCTCAAAAATGGAACTTGTCCATTTGTGGGCTTTTCCACTGGGACCTCTCAGCACCCATTTGGGTCTGGCAGCATTAGGTCTCTCCTGGTACAGCCATTGCCCCAAGTTTGTCCCAGCAACTCCTGTGTCTGGTGCTTCTGAACCTCCCAATCCCATCTTTATTTAAAATTATATTTTGTTCATCATGGAGTTTTACACATTAATTTTTGTTTTCAAGACATTGCATTGAAATATTATTTACCTTGATGACTAAGGTTTTTGGCTCCTTCTTATATCTTGTGCCTAAGGCATATACCTCACTTGCCTCACCCTTGTACCCTCTCTTGCCTTGCTCCTGGGGCTTCCTTGTCCTCTTCACTCTGTGGCTCCCATCAAACGTGTGCATGGCATCAGGACAAACAAATAAGTCTTACCTGGAGGGTTTGATGGTGATGTGAGAACTTGGGGAGGGCTTCAGTTACTCTTAGAGGGGGCCTCTGGGCTTCTAATCCAGTGGAGGTCCCCCAGGTCACTACGTGGGGTGGGGCACATCGGTGAGAAGTTCCACTCTAGCCCACTCTTGACTTTTGGTTTAGCTGGGCTTTCTCTTCCTGTGGACCCAACGGCCTGTGTTCAGTGCCAATCATGTGCCCCCTTCTCCCATTGGTTTGAGTTACTGCTCAGGCCATGGGGCTTGTCATTTTCCTCTTGTCAGGACCTTATCTGCAGAGTGCAGAGTAAGCATGGAATAAAGACACTTGCTCCTAGGATGCCATCTTTTCCCCTCAAAATGATGATATCATTTTAATCTTGTACCAATTAAAAACAAGAAATATTTCATTCACTCTGTTGTCATCCCAGTGATACCTAAGGACTGATCTTGAGCCAAAGAAAAGGGAAGAAATTTGAGTTCAAACAGAATGTTGTTGTCAAGGCCAGCTTTTAATTCAAGGTCTTTATTGTCATGGTTGATGGCTTAATGGTAATTGTTATCACCAGCAATGAGTGAGCTGTGCCAGACCCTGTGTTCAGCATCTTCTTAGGCACACGTGTCATTTAAACCCTACAACAGTCTGGGGTTGGGACTATTATTCTAGCCTACAGATTAGAAAACTGAGGGTTAGAGACGTTAAATAAAACCTCCCAAGAGTACCCAAATAGGTAATAGTAGGATCCAGAACTTCCTAACTCAAAACTCCAGTTCTTACCCTCATTTCCACATAGGAGGAAAGCCAGTTTCCCCTCTTTTATGGGCACGCTAATAGCAATGTCTTTCATATTAAGACACAAATGAATAAAATGCTACAATTCTTTTATTACAGTTTCTGTTTCAATTTTTCTTTTTCAGACCATAATGAAAAAATTTTTCAGCATATAAATTATAGCAAAGCCAAATCCTTTTCCTTTGCCATGTTGCAAGCCTCATGACACTTTTCTTCTTGAGTTCCAGAGCCTAGGTTCATGCAAGCAGGTGTCCCTGACCTGGTTTCTGCGAGTCTAGATGGAATCAGACATAAAGCAATTTACTGTAAATGTTTTGGGGATGAGCTGAGGGATAGGAAACTTTAAAGAATTCACATTCATCTGGCAGCAAGAACACCTGTCTGCTTATCTTAAAATCCTGGGTCTAGACCTATTATGTATTCTTTACTGGCTTCTGCTCTGAGCACTCTACAGACTCTATGAGGAATCCCCAGGGAATCTGCTCTGGTCATTCTCTTCTCGAAGGTTTTGCACCTGGCCTCCAAAATGCCATTAAGAGCACTCCCTTGACGATTTCTCCAACCACACCGCCAGTCTATAGACTTGCCCTATTTCTTGGGCATCTGATTTCAAGAATGTGGTGCTTTGGGTCCACCCTCACATGGGACACTGTCCCCTCACCCCTACCCCCAAACTTGTGAAGTTCAAATGAGGAGGCATTACAGAAGGAGTTCTTTAGCTTAACAAGGCAATTTAATGGGTCTGCGATTGAGAGCACAGCAGCAGCCTGTGTCCAGGACTGATTATGTAAGAGAGCCTCCAAGAGAGGACAGAACATGGTTTTCTACAAATAAATAAAGCAAAAAGGCTACACTCACTAGTGCCACAGCTGGGAAGCAACTATGAGCAATGAATTTCTCATGCTAACAAATCCAAGCTCTTTGGAAAACAGATGTTGAGCTCTGGGACTGGCACTGGATCTCCCCTGGCAGGAACTGCAAAGTTTAGAGATGGAAGGGTATCTAGAGAACATTTGTTCATAAACACAGCTGAGGGCCAGCAACCTGCTTTTATGCCCTGTCTGGGCTGCACTGGTGGACGCCTTCCATGCAGCATTTCCACAAGAAGGCAGACATGCAAGGCTTCTGCAGCCCACACTCTAGAGAAATAATTAAACAGTTTTTCTTAACCTCTTGAACTTTTCATTTATTATTGCCATCCATTATGTCTACCTTCTCAAATCGTAGAATCCCGAAACTGAGCTCTGGGGTCAAGGGTTTATTGTTTAATGGAGATAGAACATTTTGTAAATTGCACAAAGTCACAATGTTTATAATAGAAGCTTCTGGTGTACTGAATCTTTTTCATTTAACAAACAGTGAGCTTTGACATGTGTTCTTCCTACATAGCAAGAAATTTGGGGTAAGTGCAGTATTGGCATGAACAAGTTACCAAATCTTTCCTGTAAACCAAGTGACATCCACCGTCAAATAAAAACATTCTTTCCACCAAATACCAGGAAATGCTCAAAGTATCACTATTCTTCTAAGGTCATGCTAAACTGAAGTTTTGGCTTTTAGAACACAAAGTAAGGATGAAGAAGGCCAACATTTTTGTCCAACACACATTTGCTGCTACAAGTCCTCAGGGACAACCTTCTGGTTCAAATATTAACATGTGTATGGAGAATTTTTCCTAGGATTTAACCTTCAAATGAAAAGTGTAAATATTTTAAGAAAATGTATGAATGTTAAAAAATATTCCTGTTGTCTTTGTTTTTACTAGAATTTGTACTTTCAAGTCAGAAACGGATTTGCTTAAAACAAAGCAAACATCCTTAAAAATGTACCCAGCCAAAATAACCAATGTATAAATTCCTAGGATTAACAAAATATGAATATTCCTCAGTAAAGAAACTCAACCAAGAATTGGAAGTTCTTGGGAAGTGGCGGAAAGAATGTCTTCAACCTAAAATTTTAACCTTTTGTGTTGGAGGTCTAATAAATATTTCTGAGGGAAACAAATGTGCATGTAACACACATTTTTATGTGTTTCTTTTGGGAATTTTTGAAGTTAATGTAACATAAAACATTTAGCTGATAAAAACCTATGTAAAAAGTGACTTTCCAAGAGCAGTTAGCACGACAATGTTCTTAATGCTTAATAATTGGTTCTAGGTACAGGATGTATTTCAGGCTCATTTTTATGAGGTCAAAGCACATACAATCCTTAAAATTTATATTTATAATGATACAGGCTGATTTCCCTGAAAATCTTCCCCCTCCCAAGATGCTCAGAGGAGTACAATGCTCGCTCAATTTTTTCTCACTAAGTTTCTAAAATAATTTTGTAGTATTTAATGTTAGTTTCAGTAGATTCATTTGCTTATACCACAGGGCTCACTGGGCCTTTGCAAGGACTCTATTCGGCCATTCCTGCTTGGCCAGCAGGTGTCACTGTGGGTTTGGGTGGTAACCCAACTGACCATAGAAAAGAATGACTGATGGGGGAGAGGATGGGGGGATAATAAGAGGAGAGAAAGGGAAATATAAAAGCAGGATCTTAGAGGAAAAGTTATTAAAAACCTTTTATGTTTCCATAGACTTTTTCTTCAGGAGCTCAGAATTCTTTGCACCACCTTTCCAGCTCCTATAGATCCAGAAATGAATTTACTTGCATGACATCTAATGATGGTGAGTTAGTCACTGAAGAAAAGTTCACTGGATAAAATAGCCATAAAGATGAGCAAAACTGAGAAGAGGATTCTTGTAGTCCTTCCCTAATCTCTCATGTCTTACCTTCGTGCTTCATGGCTATACATCTTTTTGAACCATAGGCACTTTTGCTTAGCCTCAGAAATGTTACAAAGTCTTCCAGCTTTTTGGTAGGTCATAGAGTCATGGCTCAGAATAAGATCTAGGCTATCACTAACCCCAGTGGTGAAATAAATTCGCTGTTTCATTAGAGGAAGGGGCATCTTGTCTGGAAAGTTGGTTCTTATAGCCTCCCCAAATCTGGATTGCTCATTTCAAAAAAGCTAGCCTATCCAAGTCATATATCTTTCTGAATACATGGAGCTTCTTAACAAATACAATTTCAATTGGTGAAATTAACACATATTTCTTGAACAACTGTCAACCTTTTCAAGAATGAATGACCATAAAACCTCCCTGCACAGAGAAGAATTCACAGCTGGCCTAATTTGAATAACAGGCTGTAAATTGATTTCTTTTTTGGCTTGATACTTGGAAAGGACATCCATTGTGCTGGTGCAGAAAGCAAGCAATTTGTTAAGAAAAGATACATGGTTTGACTTTTCCAAATAAGACTTAACACATGTGTGAAACATCCTAATTTTAGTCGAGGTCTGAGGAAAACAAAGCAGAAAAGGGTTTTGAAAGAAAATAGAACTCTTTCTACATTTGGAAGAGCTTCTGGATCATGGTAACTCGAGCATCTATGCTGACCCACCCATCTCAGATGATGGAGCATTATTTTGTGATGGAGTTGAGGTACCTCACTGGTTGAGGTTCTCCAGCCCCAGAGGGTTAAAAACAAAGGCAATGTCCACTCTGTTATGAAACTCTTGCAGTTTCAATCTGATTTTGATTCCCTCATCTTTTATGTATAAGTAAAGTTCTTAATGATATAATACATTCTTCTAGTGCTGGTTCTAATTAATAATTAAAATAATAAAGCCCAGAAAAGAATAGATTAAGTGTGCAGTTTCAGAAATATTTAAAAACGTAACTACAAAGTATGAATACTTTGTTTCCACCTAACTCAGTCATCTATTCACAAACATAAATCATTCTGAGGTAAGCTGATTTGGGTCTACGAAAGAAAATACAAAGGAAGGCTTATAACTAACTCCGAGTAAAATTTCCTCAGAAAATCTATGCATTTATATATATGCCTCTTTCTCAACTCTGAGAAGGTTGTTTCATTTGTACATAAGAATGTGTCATTAATGAACACCATTTTCTCTGGTGCTCAGAGATTAAGACTCACTTTGGCTAAGGATTTCTGGCAGAACACATAGGAATCATAGCAACAGGCGCTATAAGCACAAGCAGCTGATGGGTGTGGGGGGAGGAGGAGAAAGAAAGAAAGAAGAGGGATGTTAAGGTATAAAAATATTTATCCAGGGTAAAGGAGCATCAACAGAATTTTCTTTTCAATTAGATATTTACATCTGTGAAG